CCTGGAGGTGTTCAAAAAACGTGTAGATGTAGCACATGAAAAGCGTCGCTGATCTGCAGGAAAAGGCAGAGAAGGCAACTGTATACAAGGAGACAACATCAAGAGCAGTGGCTGCAGCAAATTAACCAGTTTTATCGCAGTAATGCCAAGTCCCAAGTTCTTTGGCAAACGGTAAATTACACAGATAAATAGTCATAGACATTAAAAGACTGTTCATCTTTCTCAGCTGCTGCTTCAACTGATAGGAACACCATGGAAGTAGCTCACTTTTCAGACTGATTAGTGGGCATCAATTCAGTGACATAATGCTAAGATTTTGCATAAATGATAAAATAAACATGATAACATAATAAATATTATGAACATGATAAAATAGAACCTCCGATAGTATTACTGCATTACCAGAAAGTGCTCACAGCAATTTCCAGTGGAGTGGGGAAGCCACTTTCAACCCATCATCGAAAAACCCCTAAAACCAAAGCCTACCCAAACTACTCACTGTCTTCTTCCAGTCCTTCCTCACACAAAGAGAGTACCCGCAAGCTTTTTCAGCATTATTTTTCCCCTTCCATTTCAGCTCTTTTGCCATGATCTCTGCACAGCAGCCACCGCTCCCCAACAAAAGTCAGAGAGTAATGGACTGCCAAACTGAGGAAGAAGAAACCTGTGAAGAGCAGTATGACTCTGAAAACTGCACTTGCAGCTCCAAGCATGCATCACCAACAGCACAATCCAACCCAGGTTTAATCCAATTTAAATACTGCAATTGCTATGGCAAGCTAGCATTTCACGCTTTCATTTTTCCCAGTCTTCAAACAGCAGATGTCATCATTTCACTTTTCCTTTTGATCTCTGTGTTATTTCCCCCACCATTTAGCCTTGTGTTTGTACTTATTATCAGACCAAATCTACAAAAAAAAAAGACTATCTCTATAGGCAAGATGTACGTTTAAAAAGGCCTCTGGATTTTTTAGACATCTAAGAATTATTTCTCAATTATCAGAGAGATGATCGTAATATGCATTAATTGGGCTGGCACTGTTGAAGCTGTGGTATTACAAATTTCAACAGGCTAAACTGCTCAAGCACCTACCAAGGGTTCTAGGCAGGCATCAACTGAAATCCATGCAAGCCAGAGCAAAATTTTTCTTTGCAGTTAATTTTCTATCATTTGTGCATTTCCCGCTGACAGGCTTCCAACAACAGTACAGTCATTCACAACAGGGTCCTTGCTTTCAGTGAGATCAGATGGAGCAGTTCAGCAGAGCTCTCCTGAAAAATCTCACCGACAAGCCTGCTCGCCCTGGTGAGACGTGCTAGCACAACTGTAGCGCTGACTCACTGAAAAGCGCAGTTTGTGGCAACATATACTAAAAGACCATCTTACAACCCTCCTTTTGTGGAAGAATGGTTAATAAGTAACCACTAAAACACGCTAGGTGTTCTTCAACCTAAGAGGTAAATCCTAAATCTTTTTTTTTTTTTTTTTTTTAAGAAAGAAGCTTAAAGTTCTAGATCTGTTGGCTCCACAAATGAAAACTACAGCACAACCCCCTACGTGGCATACTCTGGCACAGTATGAACTACAGCATACCCCAAAATACAAGCTAACTTGGCCCTGCATATCTTCTAGCTGTTATTAGCAGAGTTGTATGTCTAAATTAGTAGATTTTTCTAAAAGGTTCATTTGTATCTGTTCAGAATAGCAGGAAATGACCAGTGCTCCTTTCACTCCCTGGACAGCCAGACTGTCCACTTCAGGACAGCAACTACTCTGAAGGCCAATGGCCTGACAGCTTTCCTAGTCCATGTGCTTACGTACTATTTTCGCAAAGTACTTTTAACCCTTTCACAAGTTGCATATAAACACACATTTCATCTTTTCTCTCACAGATTCACCAGTAACTCTTAAACTACTACAGAACTGTGTTCCCAGAGTTTCACACTACTTTGATAAAGAGCACTACATGTACGCTGGCCACCAGATCGTCATTCAGGAGTCCATAGAACACTTTGGAGCTGTGGTATGGCCGGGGGTAAGTATGCGATACAGCACCCAGAAAGCTGACAGGACAGAAGGTAAACCATGACAGTGGCACACAAACATTGAGGAAGCTCTCTGAAATGACCCTTCTGACAGTGGAAGTTGCCCTATGCCGAATGAAGTTGCAAAGTACTTCGGCAGAAAGCTCTGCCTTATGCTAATGTGCCACTTCATGCCAAAAGAACCATGGCACCCAAGTATTTGTAAATTGGATGCATATACTGAAAAAAATTAAGAAAGGGAACTTGGGAAGAAGTGTTCAGCTTCTTCCACGTTTCTCATCAGTCACTGCTGGGAAGTAAACAATCAGCAGTATAAAAAGGAGGCTTAAAAAGAAAATTGTGAGAGATTAAATAAAGGAGGATAAAACAATTAAACATGTTTGTTTTAAAGAAGAGGCTGGAACAGTTCCATTGCAGTATGGAAAACCACACTTGCAAACAGTTCTTCTTCAGCCTTTGCTTCTCTTGTGCTTAAAACCAGAATTTTATGTGGACTGAGAAAACTGCCCTTGAGGGAAGAGAGGGTCAACTGACAGACATATGAAAATTAATATTTCAAAATTTTTCAGATCCACATTTATTGAAAAAGCTCACAGAAAATGGCAGACAATTTCAAAACAATAGAGAAAAAGAAAGCATATGGGTGGGTGAAACAGTATCTTGAAATGTCAGATCATCAGTTCTCACATTAATCAGGTGTCAGAGTGCAGACAGTAAAACTTTCCAAGAAAATCGAGAGGCTGCACAAATTGGACTGGTGATTCATTAGCTGTCAGCTTTCCCAGAGCAGGTAGCCAGTGTTGCATTACGAAAAGCACAAGAGTTAAAACAGTAACAGTAACACAACTCTAAAGAAAAGAAGCAAAAGGGAAAGTTAGTTTCTCTGGCATCAATTTATGTGGTTTATAAACAGCTAATTTATATCTTATCGATATGATCTTTACAAAGGTCTGACAAGCAACTTTCATACAGTTCTGCTGGATCTGTTTTGTTGGTTTGTTTTGGTGTTTTTTTTTTTTTTTTTAGTAAGTTTGTACTATTAACAATAGACAAGTGTTGAGTTGGTAAATAATACATTTTTAATATTTCCTTAAAAAAAATAAACAAAAGATAGTTTTTAAAATAAAAATCTCTGCTGAAGCCTGAATCTACTTTACGATAATGATAATGAACCGCAACATTTACAATAATAAATCGTAACATTACTTTTTACATATTCCTACACCTTGTTTGCTGTTCTGACTGTGTGATTCACATCTAACACTGCCCACCTTGAGCTGTCAGCGGACTCACAGTGTATGGAAGTGTGTAGCAAATCCATATACCATAAACCTAAAAATAAGCTGTTGAATTTTTTTTAATACAAAAAACAGGACACATCACAATTCTTTCCATATTACATTTTTATGTTACAGCCTTCAGTGTTTTTCATTGTATAAAAAACCCCTCAAACCCTGTATAAAAACACTTAACGAATTTTTGTGCAACTTACCTGTTACCCTCTCATGGATATGTGTTAACCATTTTAGGCACTGGCTTTATCGCAATATCTGGAATCAAATCAAGAACAATTCAACCTCAAAGACAAAAAAGTTTTGGAAATTGGCGCTGGAACAGGCTTGGTTTCCATTGTGGCCTGTATCTTAGGTTAGTAAATTCATATTCCTTTTTGCATTTCTTGTGACAGATGAACTAGATCTACCACTGTCACTTTAAGGCAATGAAGCAACAGTTGAAGTAAACTTTGTCATGGCTCTTTTAAAAATGAAAATTACTATAAAATACTGTTTTGTTAATAAAAGTACCTAGTTTTTGGTGAGGGGGAGCCTGGGGAAGTTATGTGGATGAAGTTTTTTTATATATATATGTTCAACTACATACCTATGAGTTGAAATAAGTTCATGTTTTCTTTAGGAGCTTATGTTACAGCTACTGATTTGCCTGAAGTTCTTGAAAATCTCTCATATAATGTTTCAAGAAATACACAAAACACGAATATGCACAAACCTGAAGTGAGAAAACTGGTATGGGGAGAAAGCCTCAATGAAGACTTTCCTTTATCAACTTACCATTATGATTTCGTACTGGCAACTGATGTTGTATACCACCACACAGCTTTGGACCCCCTGCTAGGAACAATGGTGCATTTTTGTAAGCCAGGAACAGTATTACTATGGGCAAATAAATTCAGATTCAGTACAGACTATGAGTTTTTGGAAAAATTTTGCAAAATATTTAACACAACCATTCTAGCAGAATTTCCAGAATCAAGTGTCAAGCTGCTTAAAGCCACAGTAAGAGAGAATTAAAGAGAAAACTATGACTAATTTTGACTTAGTGGCAGCACCTTAGTTTGGAATGCTTTGCAGCACTATGGTGCACCTTCTGTGCGTTTATGTTTGTAAATGTGCAGCTGCATCTGAGTTTTGCACTACAAGTTAGGAAAAAATTGGCAAGACAAATGATACAGCGATTTGTCTCTGGTTGATACGTCTGACCTGTTCAAACAGACCAATTTCACTCCAGTGAAGGAACAATGTTAGTAGCAATAGTTAGTAAAAAGGCTTTAACAGAAAGCATTGCTCTTCTGGGCTGCACTGAACTTCTGCTGTTTGTAAGCTGTTTTCTTTCAGCAAGTTTCATTTATGTACTCTTTCAGAAAGCAATACAATTTTTAGCTTCATTATTTGTTTTTATTAATTATAAAATAATCTTTTAAAGCATCAGAGTGCACATGGTGTTTTTTGATCTTCAACTTTGCACATTTATTCTGTTGTGTTTTACATTTTTAACATTATTAAACATATATGTATAGCTTTACAATACCTGATCAAGATTTAACTGTCTGGCACTTTTATACACGTATCAGCCCTGCCCTGATACTCAACTTCACATGGATTTTTGAGTTTGCCTGAAATCACTCCAAAATGAAGATTTACAAGAGCACCTATGCATCAGCAATTCTGAGTTACACATTGTAACAGTTTGAGAGGTTGAATTTTTCTTAAAAAAATTAAATGTAAACTCTTGCAAACAATACAGGTAATGGTGTCCCGTTACTTTAGTCTAATAAATAAGATTTTAGCTACTCTTGAAGTAGCTTTAAGGCCTTCATACAATTGAAATTAAGATCAAACATGTTAAAATTCAGTTTACTGTAAAAAATACAGAGCTTTTACAGGTTTGCAGTTAAAAGTAACAGTTAAGAACCTAACATGCATGCAGTAAGCCTTTCCAGCCTAATTCCAAATCCTTGGTGTTGGCAGTTCTGGCACATCCATTGCCAGCAATGGGATGCACAATAAGGAAACTCCCTGATGACAGGAGTTTGGTTAACAGGTATTAAGCTGTACCCGGGTGCCTTTACTGATAAATACACACAATAATCAGCATTCATTAATGAAAACATGCGTTCCAATAAAAAGTCAAACTTATCTTTTAATATCCTGCCCCATATAAAATCACTTTAAGTTTACAATTGTTGGGTTTCTAGAATACACAATAATCAGGTGGATACATGACAGGAAGCCAGTTTTCAGTGAAAGTTGCACAATGAGTCCATCCAAGCAGCTTCATTAGCTGAAGAAAAAAAGAAAACGTTAAAAAAAATGAGAAGCTCTAGGGTCTTACTCTTTTTAAAATCTACGTCCTTCCAACAAACACTGCACTGATATCAACATCTAACTAAAGATGTCTATTATCAGAAAGATAACAGATTGGAGAACTCTCTGAACTACTTCGTCCTGAAAGGGGAAAAAGAAAACTATTCTGTATGATCTACAGTCTTTCAATTCAAGGCACAGAAAATTTTGTTCTAGGAGTTACAGTAATTCCCATTAGTTCTACACCTATATTCTACTAGCAATAACTGTGATTAATAAGAGTAAAAATAACAGTGGTTAAACAGCAACATAATGGATTTTAAATATGCAGAAGATCTTTGGCTAAGTTGTTTCTATTTTCTTTATGCCCCAAAGTAAGTTACAGAAGGTAAATCTGCCAAAAATGACAGTTACTCACAAACTGGCTATTCTAGAAAAACAAACAAGTCGTCACTATTAAATATGGAGGCCAAGCCACAAAAGCCTGAATAAAGTCAAAATGTTAAGTTTATCGAGTCCTACAATGTAAGGGGTATCCAAAATTAAAACATACTTATATCTTACTTTTAAAAGCTTACTCAGTGTGAATGTAGCTCGTTGCCTTACCAAATACACCTTACCTGAATGCAGTTTTTCAGGTTGTCCTTCGTTGGCTTCTCTTCCGCAAGTTTTGTGGCAAACTTGAGACCTCTCCCATACATTTTATTTACCAATGCGTGCTTATAGGCAAAACCCAAAACCTACAATGTGAAAACAAAATCAAATTAGATATTTTAATATTTCAATATTACAATGCTTAACAAGTACTAGCAGATTCTGTTCAGGTAGCAGAAGTGATTTAAACAAGGCAAAACATTTACACAAGATAGCTTGCATTTTTCTTTGTAGTAAAACAGATGATTCATTAGTTATGAACATGAACTTCCTAGAGACTATTTCTGACTTCATGAACATATTTGACTTCAGAATATCTTATATAACACAGATGTCACTTCTCTAAATTTTTATTCGTCACATTCCTAGCTTCTTTGGATTTTCATTCTCTAGAGGCAACTATATGGTATTAAAAAAAATTAAGGAAAAAAAAAATCAAGAACCAGGCAGGTGTATCTTTGACCCACAGAAACAAAGACCCAACTGAGAGTTTTGATTCCAGGAAGTCACAAACTTACTGCAGAAACACGTATGAAGGTACACAGTGAATGACAGACACAGACACACATACACACAGAGAAATGCACATAATCATCAACAAGCAATGAAGACAGGTAAGCATGAAGACAAGCCTCAGGTTTTGGGTCACCTCCTCCCTGCTGGTAATTTATTAAGAGATTATTAAAAAAGCTTCCTCTTGATAATGATTCTAAAGAGACAGCTTCCAATACTTGCCGATGCTATAACTACCATGCGCAAATGAATGTATCTACTTCAGAGCTAACATAAAATAAATCAGGACCTTAACACCCACACACTGACAGCACTCAGGGTGCTGCAAGATATTTCGTTTCACCAGCTACAGCACTAAGAATTAGTGCAATCAAGACATTGTTTCATATATTCCCTTGGGACTACTCAGGGTAAATAGCTGATTTTTTATTTTTTACTGAAGAGTGACAGCAGCAAAGTTGGTGAATATGGTGGTGGTTCTGTTGTTGGCAAAGTTTATGAAATCTCGTATTAAAGAGTTTTCTCTTCATTTCCCCTCACTCATTACATTTTTCCTTTCCTCTGACTCCCATAAGAAACGTTACATTTTCCCAGTGTCCACTGAAAATATCCCATTAAGAAAAGCTAACAGAACACTTCAAGGATGTTTAGAAATAAGTATTTTGCATTACAGTGAAAAAAAAAATTAAATATTTCTTAATACAAACATTAAGGACTCAGAGATCTGAATCCTGCAAAGACTGAAGAACCTGCCTAATTTTAGCTGCCTGAACACTTCCATTGAATGTTAATCACACACACACAAGTCTTTGCAGGATTAATACTTAAAAGACTGAGCTAAAAAAAAACCAAGCTTAATTATCAAGCAAGTAAAGGTGTAATTAAAGTATGCACCAAACAGAGTTGCTCATTCTACTTCTGTCTTCAAGTACTAATTTTGTTGCGTTGAAGTACTCTCTTAAGCTGTTGTAGCTTAAAACACACACATATATGCAACAATGAGCATACAGCACTAGTCACATATAGATTTTCCAAATATTGCTATTGGAAAAATACTTTGCATGCTGCATTCTCAATCCAATCATTTTGGATATTTTCCTAAAGCAAAACACATTAGCAAACACTTCTGAGTAACTGCTCAGTGGATCCATTAGCAGATTTAGTCGGTTAAATTAAACTTAAAAAAAAAATAATCCCTTCTGTAAAAGATGATAGAACCACAAAACAAAAACAAAACGAAACAAAAAAAAATCAAATGAAAAATGCATTGGAGCTCTCAGCAAACGTAACATGTTGGAGGCTAACCAGAAATAATGTCACTGCTCTATTAAGAAAGCTCTTACCTGACCCTGTAAGTTTTGAATGGTTATTGAACATCAGTGATAAAGGCAGGAGGAAAGCCACTTGACAGCATTTCTTTCGTAACAGGGCTTCCTAGAGTTTTTGTGGCAAGAAAACAAAGCATTTTACGAAACACCCTTGCTCTGACCAAATAAAAGTCTGGGTATTTCTAAATGAGAAAAAAGTTCTCTGGTGGACCCAAAGACTGAAAACACTGCTCCAAGAGCTCTTGATAAAAAACAATAATTTCTGTCTTAGTGCTTGGAAAAAAAAAAAACCAACAACCCCAACAAAAACCAATCAACCGTATACAAGTTAAGTAAAACTCCTAAAAGTTCATTAGCACTTCCGAAGTAAAGAATAATGCATGAGATGCTCTAAAATCAGAATAGGCTTACAAACAAAAAGTGTTAGATAAGTAATACTTTATAACTTATATATATATTGGTCAAATTTAGCCTTATAATTAAAATACTGCAAGCTTTACAAGATCACAGAAGTGAAGATTATGATTCCTTGATATGTGTAAACAAAATGTAAACTGGAGTGCTATTTAGATGTAACAGAGGAAACAGCTGCTATCTGAAAGTATAACAACAGCAAATAAACCAATTTATAGTACTTAAAAGCAGTTGCTAGATTAGAGAATAGGAATGAATTCGAAGTATGATATTATGTCATAATTTCAATAAATATAATTAAGGCTAGCTTTTACAGAACAAGTAATATGTCCCAGAAATTGGCCAGAGAGAGATAAACAAAGGGTCATAAGAATAGGCCATGAGTACTTCTAGGATACTGGGGGAGAAATCACTGTTAGATACTTCAGTCCCCACACTAATGGTCCGTAATACTAAACGCGCCAAGAGCCAGACCCATGAAAGTGGTTGGACGTCCACCTCTTAACTAGCTCCTTAACTTGCCATTGGCTACATAAAGATGCATATTTAGGAGTGTAAAATGCTGACATGGACTCTCCCAAGGTATTTGCAGTGCTAAAGTATTTAAAAGCCTGAAAACACTCTTCAAAAAAAGAACATTTTTTAAATCCAGCAGCACTAAACTACCTAATAAAACTTTTTCTGGTATCCTAATACTGTTACCTATGAAAAGGAACACAGATTTATATAATCAGTTACTTCACCATTTAAACCGTTGATTAAAACGTAGCTACATTTACAACTAATTAAAATACTAGGTTAAGTGATATAATCTACGAGATAACACATTCCAACTACTTCTAAGAACACTGAAGTCGTAATGTTTATAATTACCAGCAAATGAGTTTTTTCAGGTTCATAAACATCTGTGGTAACAAACTAAGGTTTCTTAGCTACATTTGTTGACTCCTCTCTGCTCTGTCAACTGGCCTATTACAAATAAAAGCAATACTCATAAAAAAAATTGACTCATCAATTTTCAAGAGAGGGAGGAGAGTTATGGGAATCAAGTATCCAGCAACAACTGTTTGGCAGTGACTGAATACGATCAGCTGGAAGAAGCAGATTCATCTGACAGTGTAGACAGTAACATGAAAAACAATCCAGGCTAAAGGGGTTTAAAACACAAGATGGAAAGGTCTGTGCCTTTTATTTGTTTTTAAACTTATTTTAAAATGTGACATTTGCTTTTCCCCAACAGCTGATTTAAAGGTTGAGGAGCATTAAATTCTACAGATGAGTCAGTCCCAGTAACAAACAGCAACATCCTACTACTGTCCTGTAGCAGTTTTGTTCAAAACTGGGAATTTGGCCTAAAAATTTCAAAGCTATGTTCTAGGTAAAAGAAAAACCGCATAACTTGTATTCCATTACTAAAATCCCTAAAGCACTATCACAAATGCGTTGGCATAATCAAACAAATACTTGCTGCATAGACCTGTCTCCATTGGAGATTATCTGAAACGCTTTTGTGTACACAGGGGACAAATATTTTCTTCCACGTTTCATTTGAAAACAGGCTTCAGTGACAAGTGATCTAACTATAATAGCCGAAAGCGTCAACAAATGCACTTACTATCAAGAGTCAGCACCAGTTTCCCTCCATACTTGCTACAGTACGGGGACAAGCAGGATACTTCAGTGGAAAACAGGCAATTCAAAGGAACCAAGGAATGCCCTGTGGCAACACAGGTGCTACTCCTGCAGAGGAGAGGAGAAGCAAGTGACAGTACTTGGCTTACTAGAGGGTGAGCTTCTGAAACACACAGAAAAGCGATGATGTTCCTGATTCATCTTTAAGAACAACATAGAAGATAAACACGGTCTCTGTTTTCAAAAATGTACTTATCCTTTACATTACTGACATCTGGATGAACTATGACTTACAGGAAGCTTAGAAGTAAAACCACCGAGATCAATGTTTCTATCTAAAGCCATGCATATACTTGAATGATCAGTGTAGTATTCAAGGACCTTATTTCTATCCTTTCTCACCCAGTTGTTCCATCTTTTGAGTGCCAATGCCACAAAGCCATGTTCATGTACAAGAAAAGTGCCACATTTTTGTTTCCAACATGGTGTGTTAGAATAAGCTGGTTGCCTCTTGAGGACTTTCATTTGAAGGGCATTCACACAAGGTCTGTCCCTGATCCTACATCACTACTCCACTCTATCCTTCCTCCTTCCAAACCTCTTCTGTTCCCCAAAAGGCAAATGAGTCAGGTTAGGTGACAGGACCAAGTCACAACTTCATTTTATCAGTCTGGCCTAAATCAGTCCAGAGCAGCATCACAGAAAGGCTGTTCAAGTCACAATTTCTTCTTTTCTACCAAGGTGAATTTTGACAAGCACAAGTCAGCTGGACTGAAGAACACAATCAACACTTTTGCCATTACCCTAGCAAAGATACTTGTTTCTTTGACAGAATCTGTTTTGAAGCCTTAAACACTACTTTACAAAATTAAGCCATCAACATTGTTCCTAAACTCCCCATCGCAAAGGAAGCAAGCTACATGAACAGTATGGTTCCCCTTAAATGGTCAAAACTCCAAATTTTCCTCTAACAGACTGTAAAATTAAATTATTTGCACTAAGCTATCCAATTTGTTTTTAAAATAGCAAAATATTCCAGAAGTACAACAGCATATTGCATGCAAGGTGGAGATTCACACAACTGTTTCCTCCCAACAGACAGAAGCAGCTGCAAAGGAGGAAGACCAAAGGCCACTGCAGATATTTAAAACATTCTATTGGCCCATCTCTAGGACAGAAGACACTGATTTTTATTCAAACAGGAAGCTGAGAGGCTTTAAGCACAATCCCACTTACAAAACTTGTCAGCCATTACAAATAAAATGAATGAATACTGATCAGGCAGCTGGAACATAAGGTGTAGCTTGGCAGAGGTGGGTGGAATGAAGGAACTGTAAAGTATTAAGTTTCTTTTCGAAGAAAAGTTACAGCCCATGACCCAGGTATACAGCTATTCTCACAGCAAAGACAGTAACTGTAAATTTTTTTCTTCTGCTTTTTTCTGTCAGGCCATATCATAATTATGTAGTCTTAGTCATTAATGACCCTTAAAAAAAATAAAGCATAATTGGATCCTCATCATGTATTTATGATTTTACATGACCAAAGAACATTTGGTCATTAGCTGCCAACTGCAGTGCTAACAACTGAAGCAGCTGGTCTGAACAGTGCAATTACTAACTGCAGCCAGTGCAGCTAAGTTTTCTTAGCCAGTGCCTAAGAAAACTACTAGATGGACATGACACCTGTTAGTAAGGGAAATGAAAGAATATGAACAGCAGCAAGCATGAAAGTTCTAGGAAGCAATAAAGGAAAAACAAAAAAGTTTTTTCTCAATTGAAAATAACTCCCTTTGCCCCAGCATTGATACTGAAGTCTTTAGGGTTGTAATTCTTAATTTAATAAGTAACTGATGTGAAGCACCTGGGTAAACAGTTCTTGACAAGACAATGGGACAGAAGTAACAAACAGACCTAAACCCAAGAACCAGAAACTTTAGTGGCTGATTGCCCAAGAAACCTGGCCAAATTGCATGCCTCAGCTGAAATCCTGTCCTCTAGTTGAACTCAGCTGATTATAACGTGAAAACCACAAATCTAGAAGTTAGGATACCCGCCTCCAATTGAAGACCCTCACTCACTGAGCTTGCACAGTAGAATTAAAAATTGCTGTACCTTTAAATGAAGGCAAAGGTAATTTACACCAATCAACTTTATTGAAATATCCTCCAGCATCTCTTTCTGCAAAGAACTGCTAGTAAATAGCTAATACTGAACTCTATGTGTTATTGGCTTACACACCACAAACGATTCCACCAATTTTGTGACAACAGGCCCAACTCTTTTCTCCAAATCTGTTATCAGGGAAAATCATTAGGAGTGCTCTACTACCTCCTTTCAAAGCAAAATTCTCACTCCTCATGCCTTTTCAAGAGTTTCCAGAAAAAGAAAACTTCAAAGTATAAAACTGAACAATTAAAAGTCTCAGTTCCAATTATCATATGAAAGTTTTAAGTAGCAGCATGTTATTTCTTTCCCTTCAGACTTTTTTTTTTAACCTTATCTATAGGTACTGCTGGGATTAGAGTTACTGAACAGTACCACGGAAGAGATGTGAGGACTCGACCTTGAAGGTCTCTTCCAATCGAAACTGTTCTATGATTCTATGATACATCCATCGTGTGATCTTCAGACACATTAAATTGATAGCTAGCAAAACTAACACTGCATCATTACTGACCTACATACATGCTCCTAGATCACAGATCACACGAAGAAAACCACCAAAGAAATGAGTGAGCTACATCAGCAGTCACTGAATCACAAAATGGTTCAAGGTAGAAGGGAGCTCTGGAGATCATCTTGTCCAATCCCGCTGCTCAAAGCAGGGCCACCCCGTGCAGTTTGCCCTGGATCATGTCCGATTAAATTTTGACTGTCTCCAAAGACTGAGACTTCATCAGCTCTCCAGGCAACCCATTGTAGTGTTTGATCACCCTCACAGCAAAAAAAAAAAAAAACACCACCAAAAAACCCCCCAAAAACTCCAACACATTGCCACTCCGCCCCCAAATAGTAAAAACAAACCCAATTTTTAATTAAGTAGAAGTTTCTGTGGTTTAGTTTGTGCTCACTGACTCTTGTCCTGTCACTGGGAACCACTGGAAAGAGCCTGGCTCCACCTTCTTTACTCCCCCATCATACATCTATACACACAAACAAAACCTCCTTGAACTTTCTCTTATCCAGGCGAACAGCCTCAGCCTCTCCTCATACGACAGGTGCTCCAGTCCCTTAATCACCTTTGTAGCCCTTGTAATACCACTTTACTAGTGATCATAACCATTCTGATATAAGGTAATTTGTCCAGAAGCAATAGAACACAGAAGATAAACTGTATGCAGGCCAGGCAAGGTTGAGTAAGGGAGGCTACGCATGGGGACAGGACAGAAAGGCTGCAGAAAAGCACAGGACAAAGATGCACCCCAGTGGTCGTTAGGATGTAGCATGACAGGCTTATTTTCTACATTTACAGAAGCCACCTATTTAAAACACTCAGAGCACTCTAGAACATTTCTAGGCTAAAAGTACCCTCAATGTACTGGTTTTGGCTGGGATAGAGTTAATTTTCTTCACAGTAGCTCCTATAGGCCATGCTTTGGATTTGGGCTGAAAAGACTGTTGATAACACAGGGATGTTTTAGTTGCTGCTGAGCAGTGCTGGCACAGACAGCATCAAGGTCTTTTTTGCTTCTCACCCTGCCCCACCAGCGAGCAGGCTGGGGTTGCACAAGAAGCTGGAAGAAGACACAGTTGGGACAGCTGACCCCAACTGACCAAAGGGATATTCCATACTGTATGACATCATGCTCAGCATATAAAGCTGGGGGAAGAAGAAAGAAGGGTAGGACATTCGGAGCGATGGCACTTGTCTTCCCAAGTAACCACTAAAGGAGATGGAGCCCTGCTTTCCTGGAGATGGCTGAACGCCTGCCTGCTGGTAGGAAGTGGTGAGTGAACTCCTTGTTTTGCTTTGCTTGTGTGCACAGCTTTTGCTTTACCTATCAAACTGCCTTTATTTTGACCTATGAGTTGTCTCACTTTCACATTTCTAATTCCCTTCCCCATCCTGCTGCAGGGGAGTAAGCAAGTGGCTGCGTAGGGCTCATGACAGTCAATCAGTTTAGATTTCAATTTGACTAGTAAAAGCAAGAGGGAAAAGCAGACAAACATACTGTGTGAACAGGATGTAAATTATTTCCATATGAAATACTACAAAAATCTAAAAAGCTTTGTTGGCCTTTCAGTACCAATTTAACCATAGTGAAGCATCGATTTTCAGAGCAAACCCTGAATATGCACTTAGACAAATCCTTGGTTAAGGCAGTCAGAGAGGTTCAATCCCTACTCTGTGCGATTCAGATCAGAGTTACTCATTCCAGGCCCAGAGCACACAACTCAAGAGTGCCAGGAACCAACAACTATCTTGAAAAAAAACACATAACAAAGAGCGATAAATTCCCAAGATGTCATCTATATTGGCAGGTTTTCCACTCCCATCAGCTTTAAAAATAAAAAGGCAGCAGTAAACCAGGGGTTGCTATACTGGAACACAGTACTATATTTACAAATAGCAAGAAAATCATGTGCCAGACAACATGATTAAAGCACAAAATCTGCTACCACAGGTTATTACAATCAGTTAAAGATTAGAAGAGGAACACAGAAAAGATGCAGGTGTACAAGACTATATACGTTAAAAGAAGTGAGGGTAACCACCATCAACCTTCTTGTTCAGGCTTCCAGCTAAAGCACAAGTTCTTATCCGGAAGATGAGTTACAGTCAAGGAAATTAAGCAATTTTTTTAATTGAAAAGTTTTTCTTTTGTAACTATCTGAAGGGCTTTGGCAATTTAACCGAGTTATAGAAGAATACATTGGTCACTTCATCTTCCTCTAAAACACAGCCATATGCAAGAGTTAAGTACAGCAACTGATTAATACTCAATAACTCAACAGTTAAACACACAAAGTCATAAACTGTGTAAATCAAAAGCTACATAACTAATCACCTACAATGGATTTTTTTTTTTCTTCTGGAATAGCTCTCTTGAAGGAAGCAGACAAAAACTTAAATCTCAGGATGAGGAACCTTGAAGTGACAGGGTAATCTGTGCTAATAAATATCTAAGTGTAATTATTTCCAAGGGTTTCTTCCTTTACCTCCACAGACATTACTGACAGCAAACCACAAAACTTCTCTTGTCCATAGTGTAGAAGAGGCTACAGAATGCAGGACTGAACAGAGTAGGGGTGCTGCACACTTCTGTACGTGTACAGCTAGAGCAGTGCAGAGGTTAATCAAAAATATTCACTGAAAGGTACAGAAAGAAGCAATTCAATAAAGCAAGCAGCTTTTTTCATGGAAATCTGGTACTGTTCTATACCCTTCCCTTAGCCTCTACATTCACATGCACAGAGATGGGCTTACCATGGATTTGACAGGCTTGGCAAAACCTCTGTGGAAAAAGGTCATTAAAGAAGCACAACATATGGGGACAGCATGAAAAAGTAGAAGGGAGGAATGCATGAGGCTGTGCACACAAAGGTGGTGCATATTTCTACGAGGAACCATCAAAAAAACCATCATGCAAAAGAAAAAAAACCTCTGCTCTGCTCTCTTACCTTGCTATCAAAAAGATCAGTCCATTTTGTTGTTTCCCAGAATGTCTCTGTCAAAGCTTCTGAGCAGCTCTCATGATCCTCATCTTTGCCTTCTGCATCACTGGAAGCAGCCCCTTCTTGGGCCTGCAGATGAAGCAGCTGGTCAGCAAGTGCACTTCCTTTTCGACAAAGCGCATCCACTAAAGTCGTCTTCTGTTTTTCCATTTCACTAGAAAAACACAGCATGAAAAATATTACAGACCTGTTGCAGATACCTCATTAAGAACAGAATCAGTGCTTTACTGAGTGTAAGCTAAAAGCTGACAGAAGTTAGTACACACAAAATTAAAATAAGCACAAAGATAATCTTTAAAGCATGGCTATTTACTATAAATTAAACTCATTGTAAAAAATTACCTAGAGGCAGTACGCACTAAACAAGCTCAATTGTTCTAAGTCTGAAATGCCTTTTGTGCCTCAAGGCAAGGGCGACTCAGGATTCTAAAACTGCATAAGCCAGCATCTAGAAATACAGCTTTATAGCTCCTGGCATTATAAACAGAGAGTCAAATCCACCAACAACATAAGCAGACACAATTCTGCTGACTTCAAAGGAATTGCACCCATTTAGAGCACCACTGAATTTGCTGTTCAATTTCAGATGTCAGATTCAATCACATGACCTAATGGATCAATTACCAAGAAACGTTTAGAATGAAGTTTATTATGTCACAGCTTTGCTTTTATATCAGCAACTCTAGAATTATACACAAATACCCAGGATATCTGGAACAGGCAGACTAATTTTACAGTTGAAATTTGGTATTTTATCATCTAAAATAATCAACAAATATGCATCTCCCATTTTAAGGGCTTAATCTTCAAATCTGCTGCTGTATTTGCGACTAAAACAGCACTACAGCACACACTCCGATATCCATCAGTAATTCTCCAGACTAGAGAGTCACCTTCAAAATACTGTCTTCCTAAGGATAGATACTGGTAATTCAGAGGAACAATGTAAAACTAAAGAAAAACAACAGTCTCAAAAATACTCTGAAGCACAAGCATGGTCATCACACTTTTCACCAAGGAAATCTTTTGCAAGCAGTTAGACTGCTGTCAATTCTGCCTTCAAATACAGGTCCAAAAGGTTGCAAAGAAGAGGCAATTAGCATTCAAAACACGCACCCCTATATCAATATTCTCCGATCTAAGATTAAGCTTGATACAAAAAACTTAACATCCCAATTTTCTGACATATTTAAATCCTGAAAGCAGCCTTGTTTATTTTATTTAATATTTCTAAGTAAAAGTTTGCAGGTTTCAGGCTTCCTGCATTTTGGAGCTGTAATAAAAAAATGAAACAATTTTGCAGTCAAGTTTGAAATTACCTATGCCCCCTAGAATAACACAAGTTATTCAGAAAGGTTATAGTCATTCCATTTCTTATAAGCAGAGACAAAGCACATAGATTACAGAAATAGGATGCAAGAAAATTATTTACTGGGTAGGTACTTTTTTATAGTAGTTGCATCAGGCCTGGGATCAGTCTTCATGGCAAAATACACTGCTAATGCTGTCTGGTCAATATGAGAGATTACAGTATTTGCAGCTTCAACAATTTCATCAAGTCTTTTCATTCGCTCCTAAAAGAAGAATAAAAAAGATGTCTAGCACTATGAAATCACACTACTTGATTGTTGATTCTACTCACACTAAGATAATTGCAAAGTATGCAGAAATAACATTAGGTAATTCATCATGTCCTTTTCTCCACTTTCTCCAATTTTTGGTTCAAAAACTGGTAAGAAGTCTGCATCAAGATTTCCCACTTATGTAGTCCATTTCACTGAAAAACTGTAAAACATGAGGTGGGTATATGCAAAATGCAGAGTTTACAGAAAGCCAACCACCTTTCAGGAAGAATTAATCCTCTTAAATAATGGTACCAGTTATTCATTTCAGAAATAAATATAAAATCAGAATCAAATAAGCGGAAAAATATTCAAGCTACTCATATATACACAAAGCTGTTTATCTTCAAGATAAACAAAAAAAAGCAGACATGTGAACTTTTCTGTTCACGGTTCTCATTTTTGAGGACAATGACAGATGGTGGATTTAGCTGTGTCATTTCAAGTTGTTTGAGAAATTCTGCTGGAAGAAATTACCAATCCAGTAGAGGAGCACAATGGGATGTATGCTTGTCCCAGTAACCACCATTTAGAATTATATTGCTGTAGCCTGAACCAGTAAGGAAACTTACAACGTGTTTAACCTAACAAGGCGTAAATGATAAGCAAATATACTATAGGTAGGCACACTTTCTTTCATTCTGCTGTGGGGTTAAGTAAAACACAGTCAGTTAGGGAGGCAGCTATCAATTTAATGAGGAGTTTCTGCTTTACAGTACTGAGTACAGCTATGGTAGACACTTCAAGATCAAACATGTATGAAGAAAAATTCAGTTGTTCACGCTACATGGATGTATTGAGACAAATGGAGGTTAAAAAGCGTTAACCTTTTCAGAATCCAGCTGATGAAGTCTTGCAACGTACAATGGAAGATGATTAGGAAATGCTTCTTTCAACTCATTATACATGTCAGTGGTATCCAGCCTAGAAGAGAGGAGGACATAGCATGAAAGTACAGATTCTGGATTTTTTTTTTTTTTGTACGAGTACTTCAGGCTTGCGTAGTCATGACAGAAGACATACTTGGTCATCCACTGTATTTTTAGATCTCTTAAAGCTTCAGCAAATTCTTCTTTTACATCTTTTTCTTTTTCCTGTTCTCTTTCTTTTTCTTTGCTGCCATTTTTACTCTTTGATGGCGATGGTATCAGATGATAGTGAACAGTAAGGACATCCTGGAGGTGGGAAAAGAGACACATACTGAGAGGGATACAGTATGCTTTTTTCTGATGCTATATAAAAGCTAAATCATAGCAAGCAACTACTGTGAACTACACATACACCGAGTAAAGATTCAGAGAGCAAAGTTAATAGTCATTAAGAATTCAGGAACTGCTTTAACTTTTTATTTTAAGCAATGCAAACATGTAAATATTAAAACAGCACACTGTAAGACAAGAAAGCCTAAAATTTAGCAAGTTTGACATTTTTGTGTTCATAAAATTTTACATATTAGTTAGGGAATCAGAAGGGTGGGGGTTTTCTGTTTGTTTACAAAAAAAGCAAATAACTTGGTTAAAAGGTAAAGTAAAAAAAAAAAATCGGTTAGAGAGCCTATCCTACAAATCTCGCAATAACCAAATGAATAAAGATGACTGAATTCTAAAAAATAATACCAGTAGCGTAAACATGAATCATGTCATAGGATACATATGTTTATTCCTCCTGAGCCAATATTTCTTCCATATGCTTACTGAATTAGCTGATGCATCCACAGTCAACTTTTCCAGTTTGCTGCTACAGACTTTCCAGTTTCACCTGTATCTGTGCTCAAATTAAGTAGAAACAGCACTTTTTTTTTTTTTTTTAAAAACCCTGGCTAGCATAGAAATATCACTATAGTTTGAGTTCATGCTACACTGGTCAACAACTACCATGAGAAAATCAGCTACAGCTATTTAAAAGGAATATCCTAACTGATCTTAGATCACGCTCTGAAGAGCATTTCCTAAGATGATTTACACATAAATTTGCAAATAAGCCAGCATTAAGATTTCAGCCATTGCTTCTAAAACATTAAAATTGCTAGGGGAGGCAGTTTTGTTGGTTTTGGTTTTCATGATGCAATTTTTAAAAAAGCCTCTCCCTAAACAGTGAGGGCACATCTCCCGTTATTTTACATACAGAATATTTCACAAAGAACATGACTTAAGTTTAAATCCTCTAGATACCATTACTCTGTTGCAACATCATGCAAAACACTGATGCACGCTCAGTCGCTGTGGTAGCAAGGTGAATATGCTTCCCATAAACCAGATCAGTGTTGTGTAATGAAATGAAATCTTGTGCACAAGATACAATTCTATCAGGTTACTGAAATAGTAAGTAAAAAGGAGACTGTTAGAAACTGCTATGTATGACCTTGAAGTAATGGACTTCAACACCACACTTCTGAAACTATTCAAAAACACTGATGCAGAACAATTTTATTTGAACTGATAGTTCAAACAGACCAGCAGCTTGCTACGGGTTACTGAAAGCAATACTGGTAAGAGAAAGTGACATCAATATTCCCTTAAAACAATCTTTTTAGCTACTTAATATGTAATTGCAGATGAACCACAAAATTGACATTTACGGGTTTTTTTGAAGCCTACTTTAGATCACTAATCTAGATTACACTGTAGCTTTCACAGGAACTATCCTGCACATGTGCATTTGAAGTACCAAGTGCATGCCCAGGCAGTACACCTAACTAAAACTCCAGCAAGACCTAGGCCAGAGCATGACAAACCAGCTCATGGAGGTAAGCATGTGTGGTGGAGGATACAGAAGTCAGGAACATGGTATGGGGGTGGCTGAGGTAATTAGTACGGTGGAAAGCAACAACGTAGATCATTAAAGCAAACCAAACATCTTAAGATGCCTAAGAAGTTAGTTCAATATAAAAACCTGAATCAGTAGTTTACAGTGTTTTTTGAAAGGCGTCCTCTATTGAGGCTAATACTTTCCTAAGAAAGAATTCCTAAAAATGTTTTTCTAGTATTTCAGGATTTCCTTCTTGAAAGTCCTCTTTGATCTTACGTGACGACATATGTTTGAAGTTATGTATCTAAACAGGCTCTGCATTCTCAAGCCTTGTTTATATGAGAAGGCTCCACTACTCTGCTTTACGTTTCAAACCAAGTGTAATTACATTAACAAAATCCTTCTTATGTGGATGAACACTTAAGAGACTAATCCTATGTAGCTAAACCATCAACAGTAAAATGTCACCTCCCCATTCTCTCAGCCAGGTACTTCTGGTCTCATGAGATTCTGCAAGCATTACAAACTATGACCACTGAAAAGAAAACAATGAGCTTCAGACCTAAGCACACTCCTTTTCCAAAAGAGCTTACAGAAAAAGAGGCACACTCTTCTCTACAGACATCAAACTTATTTCATGGGATAAATAAGGTTTAGGTGTGTATCATGTTTAACTCAACTATCACAAGACCATAAGATGGACTGAAGGCTTCTTTCTTCTCTCTATCCTGACTGCAAACACCAGCATTGTTTATAAAACTTGGCAACCCCCTAGATACCAAAAGATCCCAGAATGACACTGTCATTGCCTTCACAGAAACATCTATCATTAGAGGTTAAGAAGAAAGGCAACTCTTCACAATTCAGCACTTTAATCTGTTTTCTTATTAAAATTTCACTCTAACTGTTCTACAGCAACAGAATGCTAGTGTACTGCATTTGGTTTTATACATACCTACAAAAAGATACAGGGCCATAGACAGAGAAAGGCAGCGAGCGAGCATATTATCCATTGAAAAAATGACTTTAAGGAAGCTTTCATATTAATGAGAAAGCTGCCCTTTGTTTATCCTCTAAAAAAAATTAAGCAATATTAAAAACTTTGGAATCATACAGGATATGTACTTTGGTCAGTGTACTCTGTGCAGAGTTTGGTAAGCCCCAGTGAGTTTACTTTTAACTAGAACTACAAACTGCACATATAGACAAGCACAATGTCCTCAAAACAGTCAAACAGTTTTTTGCTTTTTTACAAAAATTTAACTTTGTTTAAAGATTTCAATTTAGATCTTCATCCGATGATTCAACATTTGGTACTTAAAAGTGGAGAAGACATACGAACTACTGTTATCTGTACTTTAAAGCACCCACAGCAAAACTAACCACAGGAAAAAGCTCCTTGAGGGAATACATCCCAGGTTTAATTTTCCATTTAATAAATACCACGCACATCTGCATACACACACAGAGTTGAATGTGCAGATGGAATTTGTATCTACTTTAAGATGCATACAATTTGTGCAACGTTCCTTATTTTTACAGCAATAGTCTTATTTAATTGAAAATAAATGATGTTTCTTGAAGTCACCAGCCAGGCTTATGCAAGATTAAGTCAGACATGTACTTCATCCTATTTTTGAAGGCCTCTTGACTGAACAGGGCTAGCATCTTAATACTCAAAGGAAGTTATCCTTTTACATTCGATTTCACAGTGGTGTTTATTAGTCTTCCACTACTACTTGTCGATACCTGCGTAATGCATTTCTTGCTTCAAACTGGAGGAAAGGATGGCAGAGAGAAAGATGTAGAAATTTTCTATATATTACATATTGTTGTTCAAATGCTGCATTATGTAAAACAATCAAAAACTGCTTCTTACAGACTAGAAAAAGTCAATGATCTGTCTTCATTCTATGTTCATGACAAAACTTGCAGACAAGGGGAGGAAAAAAATCAGATTGTAACTGTGTTACACAAGTTAGGTTGCGAAAGAAGAAAGTTGCATAGAACCGATTTGTTTTTCACACAGTTGTTTAGCACGTGCCTCCCCCTTAGAGACCAAGGGCACTTCTAAGAATACACCAGGTTCCCAAGCCGTGACAGTAGGGCACTTTCTGCTTCAGTGGGCATCAGTTCAGAGGAAAAGCATTCCCGAATTCTGAACTTCATACATATCATAGGTTCAGTGGTCAGACAGAAAGGAAATCTTTTTTTCTTAAGTCCAGACACATTGAAGACAATGTAAAAACCCAAACCCAAGGGTTGTTTTGGTTTTGTTTCAGGTTTGGGGTTTTTTTAAGATAAAATTATGTTCCCCAGAATAGCTCTTTGAGCATAAAATTATGGATTAGGCATATGATTCTGCTGTACATCTCTAGTAAAACAAAGACACCTGCTTATTCTGTGGAAAGAACTCATTGACCTTTTTGTCCAGTTATAAAATAATTAACTATCTTCTTTGGAAAATGAGGCTGCTATTTCCTGGCATAACCTCAAAGTGCCTTCATGCAAAATAGAGAAGCTGTTGAAGTATGGGCTGGATGAGCAGTCAGTCAGGTGGATTGAAGCCTGCTGAATGGCCAGGCCCAGAGGGTGGTGATCATCAGCACACAGTTGGAGGCCGGTAACTAGTCGTGTACCCCAGGGGTCACTACTGGATCGAATCCTGTTCAACATCTTCATTAATGATCTGGATGATGGGGCAGAGCTCACTCTCAGCAAGTTTGCAGGTGACACTAAACTGGGAGGAGCAGCTGATACAGCGGAGGGTTGTGCTGCCATCAAGAGGGACCTTGACAGACTGCAGAAATGGGCTGTCAGGAACCTCACAAATTTCAACAAGCAGAACTGCAAAGTCTTGCACCTGGAGAAGAATAAATTCATGCACGAGTACATGCTGAGGGCCACCCAGCTGGAAAGCAGCTTTGCAGGAATGGACCTGGGGGTCCTGGTGGACACCAAGTTGAATGTATGCCAGCAATGTGGTTTTGTGGTAAAAAGGGCTAATGGTATCCTGGGCTGCATTAGACATACTACCAACGGGTTGAGGGAGGTGATCCTTCTCCTCTACTCTGCCCTGGTAAGGCCACACCTGGAGTACTGTGTCCAGTTCTGGGCTCCCCAGTACAAGAGAGATGTGGACGTACTGGAGAGAGTCCAGGGAAGGTCCATGAAGATGACTGACTGGAGCATCTGTCGTATGAGGAAAGGCTGAGAAAGCTGGGACTGTTGAGCTTAGAGAAGGCATTTGGGGGGTGGAAGGGTAATCTCATCAATCTGTGTAAATATCTGGAGGGAGGGTGTAAAGAGAAATCCACACTCTTTTCAGTAGTGCACAATGAGAGGACAAGAGGCAACGGCCACAAACACACACAGGAGGTTCCCCTGGACATCAGGAAATGTTTTTTCCACAGTGAGGATGACTGAACACTGGGCACAGGTTGCCCACAGTGGTTGTGTAGTCTCCACTCTTGGAGATACCCAAAAGCTGTCTAGGCACGGGCCTCAAACTAGCTCTAGGAAGCTCTGCCCGAGCAGAGGGCTTAGACCAGGTCACCCTCAGAAGTCCCTTCCAGCCTCAGCCAATCTGTGAAAATAAAAGTACTTTCAAACAACCAGAAACGTCCACCCTGGACTTCTGGTAATGTCATGCACACAGGTGCAAGCTAACAATTTCCCTCCTCCCTCAACTAAAAAAAAACCCACCTCCCTCAACTATAAAAACCCCACCTTTCCACAGACTAGTCACCTAGGTATCAGAGCAAACAACATACTTAAAAATGGGATTTGTAAATTACAGACTAGTCACCTAGGTATCAGAGCAAACATACTTAAAAATGGGATTTGTAAATTAAACACTCCTAATCCTACAAGAAGGCCTGGACTTGTCCGTGAAAAATACAAAAAAAAATCTACACATACCTTTTTGACTGACTGGCTCACAAAGGAAATATATAAACATGTTTTCCATGCTGAAAAACATCTTAACCACATGTAGACTTATGACAGGGCAGGGTAAACATTCAAAACTTGTAAACTAGGAAGCCCTCAGAGCTGCATTCTCAGAAAAATATATTCATTAATGGAGCTTTTATGGATCAATGCTCTGAAATACACTGTTTTATTTATCTGCTGCCAGTACACTGATGCCTCTTATGAATAATAGGTGGAAGTATCAAGAACAGGTTTTATTTTGGCTTGGGTAGGTATGCTGCTCAGATCTGAACACAAATCTCTGTTCTAAAAACAAAAGAAAAAAACCCCCATGCAACCTCTTGAATCTGTTTAATCACATTTTGTTATGCAAATTAAATTATGATTAGAGTTTAACTCTCTCATTAGCGATTCACTTAGTGAAGATTTTATACCCTATTCATCAGGAAGCAGCGCATTCACATGGGATTTTAAATCACCTTTCTAAAAGGGATCTGCATAATTTTCATATGGAGTATAAAAACAAAACTGCAGCAATGCGCATGAAAATCCTTCTTGTAAAGCCTAATCACATTGCCACACAGTTACTACACCAAGACCAGACTAAGTTAGCAGGCTCAGTTACCAGCTCACTGTTAACAAAATAATTGATTATGGCAATAAACGGTGTTATTCATGATTCTCATGCCTTATTTCTAACAAGAATCCTGACTAATTTGCATTTCACTCCAGAACACAGTACCTTGAAAACAAAAGAATGTAAACAGCCTTATAACTTAAGACCAAAACAAGAAAAAACAGTAGCCTTATAAAGGTAGCCTATTAAAATAATTTTTGGGTTTTTTTTATAAAGACTATTTCAGTCTCTGACTGCTGGCAGAATATTCTATTACCTAATATAAAAATACGAGACTATTAAACACTGCTATGTTAAAAGTCACTCCCTACCTGAAATATCTTACACATGCTTCAAAATTCTTTCCGTAAATTCTACTACCTGCTAACATCACTGTATAAACTCTAGCCTATAACAAGTTACATTCGAGTAGAATCATGAATTGAGAGACTTCTCAATCAAGCCCATCCCTCCCAAGAAAAAAATTGCTTGCTACTGTATGTTTCTTTACAACTGTAATGAATCCAGCTCTCAATTCAGTAGACTTGGTATACTGTTAGATATTCAATTCTACATCAAAGTGTTAGGTTCATATTCAGTTGTCAATTTGCAGACAGAATAGAATAGGCAGAAACACTTGCCACAGAAAAATCTTGACAAACACTGAAGATTCCCGAGTATTTCATAAAAAGAAAAGTTACAGACCACTAATCACCACATGCATTTTTACAGCACTTATTGCAGAAGTATCCAGATGCTCACATGCCTCTCAGCTTTGTATTACAACAGTGTTTTGTCATTCTACCAGTAGACATACTTAAGGTGCTGAAGTAAATAACTCAGGACTAAGGAGGTAGATGAAGACGACAAAACCCGATACTGGTAGACAAATTCTTTAAGTCATACGCAAAAAGACTTAAGTATATCTTTTTCAAAAACTAACATTCAGTACCTTTTTAAATTTTCCTTGTCGCTTTGCTGCAGACTGCCCCTGGGAGTTAGAATAACATACTGTAAGAAAACATGCACACACCACACAGGATGGAGACACCTTCTCTGTACAATTACGGTTATACTTTCAACCTACAGATCTTTAAACTTTTAGAGAGTCACATTATGATCAAACATGCTCTTAAAGCATGCTCTTTCAGATTTTAAAAATTAATAAAACAATGCATTATTCTGTATACAGTCCATTATTCCTGTAAGACAAGCAAGTGTTGTTAACCACTTAGCTTAAATTAACAAATTACAGAAACTCAGCCTCAAAAGTGTAAATTTTAGGTTTTGACTGTTTAGGGGCATTGTTCTATTTCATAATAAATACACAGAAATGAGATACATTTTCCCTCACATTGCATCCACTTGCTGACCCAGGGACAACTTTGCTGCCTAGTCCTCCTTTTTTGTTTCCTGGTACATACTGAGGTTCACTAAAGGCAGCAGAAATTACCTGACGCTATTTGATACCCTTTTTCTAGTGAAATATGACTGTAACAGTAATGCCTTTGCCTAAGACATGAGACAATCCTCAGCTAGAATTTCTCTCCGTGTAAGCTCTTCAGTATTCTTCATCACATGAAATTTGACAGGCAATACCTACCTACTTCCTACTCCCCAACCCAAAAATCACTGTATACAACCACTTAGTCTGGTTTTAAAATAAGATAGACGAGAATTACAAACAATAGTTCAAGGAAGTGCAGAATTCAAGTTAGGGAAACTGTACTACACTACTGAAATGTATTTACCATGGATTTCATAAAAGCATACTTGCAACTTTGCAGGAATCGAAGAAATATAAAACTAAGTATTTTAAAGTTATTAGTTACTGGATTTTTCCTCACTGATACATAAATACTCCTGACAGACGTTATCTAACCTGCAGTTACATGCAATTTAAGTACTACCCCAAAATACTACCTACAAGCAAATCTGATTGAATGAACTAAACTTTTCCACTCAACAAGATCTAAAAGTGTGTGCCCACCTACTCCCAGGAACTTATTTTCTATGAAAACATACTCTGGTTTCATACACATTGTTAAGCCCCATCTAGTGACATATGGACATAGACGAACTACCTCTAAATACTAACAATTACGAAGATTGATTCAAATTTATTCTCAGCTTTGCCATCTATTGAAAAATAGCTAAGGGAATCTTCTAAATACCTTAGCACCAGATACACACAAAAGTGATCTGGTTACTATAATCACTGTTGCACTACAGATTCATACAAGTTAGAAACCGTTTTTTACAAAATGCTGCGTTATAAGCAAAAAACCCTACAGCTTTTTTCTACCATCACATACAGAGATCTTACATTATTCTGTTGGAATACACAGTCGTATTAGTGGTTGACAACAGTGTGCAGCAAGTAAGAATATCTGCTTATGCGTTTGAGTCAGCAAAATTCCTACTACTTTGTAACAGTAACATGTAGCTGTTAAGAAAGCACATTTTTGCTGAAAATTGTATGCATGCAAGGAAGAGTACAGCTGCTTATTAGAGAACCCACATGCACAAAATACAATATATATGCATGTATTTTTCATTCAAAAATATACTAAGCTAGGCAATTGCAAAAAATCACTTTTAAAGGCTTCACACCAACAAAAAAGTGGTTCTAGAAATACAAGTATTCAGAGCAAAAGAATTAGAATTCAAAATTTAGAAAATGCAATTAAATTTGAAATTATAAGGTGAAAATAAAAATAGACCTACTTAGAAGTTACTCTGACTTTATAATGAAACAACTGCTTCTAAAATGTGTTATGTTACTAAACCTAGTGCTCTTTAAAGTACTAAAACCATGAAACACAGCGCTTCCCGATATGCCATTTACTCGCTTCAAGAGTTTCAGAAAAAGAAGCCATCATCCATTTCAAATACTCACAGCTTTCTTTCCGAGTTCTGTTTTAGACAGTGTAAGAGCTCCTGCAAGATAACACCCTGGTCCTGCTCCTTTAGGGATTCTAGTCAAAAAAAAGAAAGCTCAGGGTTAAAATCAGGTTCATTAATGTTCCATGCGGACTACAATAAAGAATTCAAACAGTGAAAGAGCAACACAAGAGGAATTACTAAGCCTAAACAGGTAGACACTATCAAAGTATGATTTCAGTTAGGTGCAGAGGCAGCTGATTAGATGCAGATGAGAAAAACAGGACTTCAGTAACTTACTTGTCATCGGGCAGAGATGTAACAAAGAATGGCTGACTGTGTTTTGGTGGTAATGTCAAACTGTTGGATTTCTTCTTCCCTAAGAGAGCAAGGCTATGGTTTTCATAAATATCTAAGCTCAAGGTACTAGACAACCTGTGAGAAACAATAAATGGAAGGTCTTTGATGCGATCCAGCTCACTGTTCTGTTCATGACGAATTTGTAAGCGAATAGTGTAATCTCCTTTTTCCAGTTTCACAGAATACTGAAAGAAAGAAGTTCTCATAAATGTCGAGACTAAATACTTCACCATTCACAAAGAAATCCAGAAATAAGACTGTCATGTTCTTCTTGATCCACATAGCTCTACCCATTTAAAATATGCTAGACTGCTTAGTTTTAGAATCTCCTGAAAAGATTGCTTTCAAGACTTGATAGCAACCAAAACACATTTTAGATTGACAAAAAAAAAAAATTAAGCTTTCAGAACACAAAATAGGCTGACATCATTTGTTCCTACTCCTACACTGTATTAACTGCTCAAATAATAATCAGAATTCTTGCTAAACTTTCAGTTCAAAACCTCTAGCAGGTTTGCCTTGATACACTTTCAGTTTACTATGTAACTTCAGGTGCTCTGTGGTTTAGATCACAGGATATCTTCCACTGTCTCTGTACCAGCTTTCACACTGGGAGACCCAGTATTCCCGTGAGATTTAAGGTTACAGTTTAAATAGCTCACAGACTCTTTGCCCTGAACTTTTACTATATTCAGCTAGGAACATGCACGTAACATCACCTCCATTTATTAAAAACAAAACAGAAAACAAACGACCCCCCTCCCCAAAAAACTCAGGCTCTTAAATTGTTACGTTTTGAAAACATTCTTTCACTTCTGTCAACCTAAAAAGGCACCATGTGGATGTTTTGAGCAGTAGCATGCTAAGTTTCCTTTCTGCTGCTGCTGCTATAATACAAAAGGCAGGCCTAGGTAGAAAGGGACAATAACTCAGAACCACCCTGCTCACAGAATCTCTCTCTCCTGGATTAGGGAGTTATGCTTCTTCTTGGTGGTATTTCTTCCTGAATTAAATAATTTTGAACTGCTTTAGAATTCTTCTATAATGTACAACATCAGATATTTACAGCATGGTGGTCCACCAGGTGTAAGCAACAGACTACTGTGGTGATTTTTACATTTTATAGCACCTTAACAATGCAGGTTAAGGAACAGAAGTTTAAATAACGCAATTTCTGAAATTAATTTTTAAGATTCTAAAGACACACTTTAGAGTTGATCCTTCGTACATTTCCAGAATGATCGATCTATCAAAATAAACATACATTGATGAAGTTCATTTGTGATTTTGGATTGTTAAAAACCAGTTTCAGATCCAAAAACTATGGAAAATGTTTCTCTTATGTGTGAGTTGTTTTTTTTTTTTTCTTTTCTATCTGCTTTCGGCCTCTGCATGATCCAGACACAGAGTCTGTTCCAGCAGAAAGATATTCCCAGAGAGGGCAAAGTATCTACAAGTCTGGGGCAAAAAAACTCCCTTTGAAATATAGCAACAGGAAGTAAACAAAGCTATAGGATTTAAAAGGCTATTTGAAAACATCAACACCACATAAGACAGCCTTCATGAATATAGAAGCCTCTGATCTATCAGCGGACAAAGACTACAGAAAAATAATGGATCCTTTCCACCTTAGAAAAGTTCAAGGTAGAAAAGTTTTCACAAATTATCTTTGTGAAAAACCCAAACATAAAGACAACAATAACTTGAATTCACTTCTTGAGAAGCACCAGTCAAAATCGCACGATATCACAAGTTACCAGCTTTTTGTAGAAATAAGACACCATAACTCCTTCTCCTTCCTTGGAAGAAAAAAATCATAATATTCTTTTTCATGGAAACAAACCTGTCATTACTTTTTTCATACAAATATATCATCACTGAACCTGCCTTCTTGTGAAGATATAAGAACATTATATCTATGCATCAGGAAGTGTTAGGAGCTAACAGCAGGCCTGGGAAGTGAAAAAGAATGTAAATTTTCACACTGTGCAGAAAACAGAATGTAAAATAAATGCATTACTGTGTACCTGGTGTGGATATGCATCTCCTGAACCCATTTGTCTTTTGTTCTGGTCAAAAATAATCCACAGTTGACTATCAAACTCAGATTCATACAACAATTCACAAAGAAGCGGACAGCTTGGAGTTACTTCTCCGCTCTTCGGCTATTAAAAGAAAGGTCAAAACATTTAATCCACAACTGAATAAAACAAGTACAATCCTTACATGCATGTTCAAAAGAATACCTGAACAAAATCCCATTTCAAGCAACAGTAGCTCCTAAAATAAACCAAATGAGAATTTTGATTGTAGAGTGGGAATCTAGACCTTGCTTCTGACAGAAAGCTAGCTGAAGTTAAAATCTGATTTTAGAAAACATGCTGTATTTTTATTGACTTTTAAAAAAGCCCTATCACCCATAACCCTTACCTGATGGAAGTTATAGGTCAAAATCATCTCATATAGTTGACGATTATTTGGTAAAATATCTCTGGAGCCCAAAGGTTTTATTTTTGCACTCACTGGTCTGCAGTTAAACAACAAAAAACAACAGAAGGTACTCTTAAGAAACATGTATCCTCTATCAAAATTTGTCTTGTCTAAACAGAAGCATATTCTGAACTACAAGTGAATTCATCACATGCAATAACATCTCTTAAAATATCGTAACTATCCAGGCAGCAGAAATTCCTCAGTTAAAACGAATGTCTGTTCAAAAACAAGGTTTAGTGACACTACAGACACTGCCAAAGAAAATGACACAAAACTGGGAGGAGTGGCTGACA